AGCTCCCGGAGTTCGACCTCAATTTCCTCCTGCTTGGCGTGGATGCCCCAGTTTCGGGTGCGACGGCGCAACTCGGAGGCCTTGCTCACGAGGATGACGGGCGGATACGTTTCCTCGAGAAAGAACAGATCGAGGAAGAAGGCGAAGAAGCCCATGATGGAGATGAGATATTGGGTCCAGCGCCAGCCGAGGTACGACTCCACAATAAAGCCGCCGACAAAGGGGGCGAGGAGAGGGCCGGTGAAGACGGCCATGGAGAAGACTGTGACGGCGACTCCACGGGTACGGTTGTCAAACATGTCGGAGAAGACGGCGGCGACGACGGCCAAAGGGCAGGCGCCGAAGAAACCGCTGAAGAAACGGCAGATGGAGAATCGTCTGGATATCCTTGCCTGTAGCTGCAGCGATGGAGAGAAGAGAGAAAAGCCGAACATGGAGAGGACGAGCGGCAGACGACGACCCTTCAGCTCAGAGAGGGGCGCCCAGAGCGTGGGACCCGTCGCAAAGCCGAGAACGTAAAAGGAGACTCCCAAGATGCCAACCTCGTTGGAGACGTTGTACTGGACGCTGATGGGCGCGGTGGCGGCGGAAAAGATACTCGAGCCGAAGGCGGACGTCAAGGTTGTGTAAGCCAGCATGACGGCTGTGATCATCCTGGAAACGCGTGTCAGCGACGAGACCCCCCCAAAAAAATGTTGGGTCAAACCAGATCTAAGACAAAGAAGCATCTGAGACTCACTTCTTCTTCATGGGCCAGTTCTGGGCATGCAGCGGGTCACTGGGCCCGTCAAACTCGACGACATACTCCTCCTGGTCGGGCAGGTGAGGCGGATAGGGCTTTCCGGCGCCAAAGTTGGGAAGAGGTTTCCTCGATTCTCTGCTCTTGATGCTTCGGCCGACAGTGTTGCTGTGTTGGCTGCGCTGCGTGGCGATGCGGCTGAGCGCCGTGGGATGGCGCTCGAGGTCATTCTGAGTTGACACGCGGCTGATGCCCGTGTTGCGGCGGTAGGGTTCTCGGGAGGAAGAAGTGGATGTGCTCGAAGTGGTGGAAGCGGAAAGGACGCGCTCAATCTCGTGGCTACCGCGAGACTGGTAGCGGCCCGGCGACGCAGCCCGAGCGGCGTTGCTAAGCTCGCGATCTACCTCATCCATGTTGGGTGTAGCTCGTGGGGCGAAAGGGAGAGAGAGTGTTCGGGGGGTTGAAGAACGTGAAGCCAGTCAGGCTCGGCAGTGCTAGGGAGGTCAATGGGAATCGTTGGCGTGGGTATGATCTCGCAACGAAGACACTCGATGTGGTAGTAAGAGAAGAGGGGAGGAGGGGCCAGTGAATCGGCAATGGTCGATGGGGCGATGGAAGGGTTATTAGGTTTCGATCCCAGCCAGGCGAACGAGGCAAGGCAGGGTAGAGCAGAGAAAGAGGGTAGCGGGTGTGGTGGTATCGAGTTCATACGAGTCGTGAGGGCAGGCCTCGGAGCTAGCTTCTAGCTTCTAGCTTCTCTGGTGCTAGATGTGTTGAGCGCCCAATTACGTCAGGGGCCCCGGCGATGCGCGACTGCACCTGCCTCTGCACGATGCACGATGCCGACTTTTTCGCGACGATTCAACGTGGATGAGTAACAAGGCCTTTTTTCTCTTTCATTCCAATGAGATGACCAAAATGCCGTATGAATTAGAAAGGCAGCTGATGGAGATAGTAAAGGGGCTAAGTAAGCATGATCCCTAAATCCGCTTCTCGTCCTTCCCCTTGGATCCCCTCGGGCGCGGCCTTCTTAACATGATGCCGAATGGAACGGTTCCTTCGACCCAGAGTCTTGGTCATCACCCAAATCTGTGTGAACAAGGGCCCATATCGTTCCATGCGGACGCAAATCAGGGCCACTCAGTACGAAAACAGCCCAACGCCGCAGGGGTGTAATCTAAAAAATCTCTTCTCTCCCTCTCTCCGAGTCCCTTCGTGGCCCGACCCCGGCTAGCCTTCTCGATGCCGCCGGGAAACACGGCAACCACAGGAAACGGACGACGAAAGGAATGCTTCCTGTTCCCAGGCAAAACGAAGAGTGGGGTCCATTGTGCATTCCGGGCGCCTGCACTGCGACTGCCGCACGCGGCCGCTACCCAAGGCAGATCTCTTCTCGATCATCCATTGGCCGATACGAGGGGTCCGGGCGGGGCACCCTTCGTGCTGTCCACTGCCTCGGCACCGCCCGGCCCTGCCGACTTGTGTTTTCTCTGCCTTCCCATTTGCTGAGGAATCCCCCTCCCCTGTAAACCGACATTTTAACAGTGCACTTTTGGTGCTGTGCTGTGCTGTGCTTTGCTGTGCTGCTGTGTTACACTGCCGACCTACCTCACCTACCTACCTTACCTAGGTACCTTACCTTCAGGTATCCTGTCTTGTCCAGTCCACGCCGTGCTGTTCCGGCCTGGGTGGGCTGGCACTACGCTCGCTGTTCGATCAGCCGCCGCCCTGTCGCAAACACCGAATCCCATTCTGCAGATCCCTCGGACATCGCCCTTTCGCGCCCCCGTTGCCCTTCCGATCTCCCGTCCCGACGAATCTGCCGCGCGCCCTTGTCCATGGACGCGCATGTTCGTCTGGCCCATGTGAACATTCTCAGTAAGCAATATGCACGAAAACTCGGCCGAGCTTGGTGACGTCACCTACATCCACGCTCACGTTAGGTAACATCTTCGGTACTCCAGCCCGGCTGAAGAGGTAAGGACAAGAGAGCGAGGGCACCTACCCACGACCTGAGGTAGGGGAGAAAAGAAAGCCAAGTCGCGGGTGGTGCCACATGGTGCATGTTGCAATCTGCAGCCCTAGCCTGCCGCTCCAGTCGAACAATAGGAGCGTCTTTTCTCAGTGGGCGTTGCATCCCAGCCGCAGGGGACTCGGGCATGCGCACTGAGGTCTGGACCCTACTTTCCCCCCTCCCATCTCCTTCACTCCACTAGAGGCCGACAGTGGCCGTGTCTTCAACTCCTAGGACCCCCAATTCCTGGGGCCTCAAATCGGCAAGTGGGCGGGAGTAGGAAGGACGAAGAACCGAACGAGAAAATTTGGAGCCTGGACCAATAGCAAACAACAAGTTCGCAGTTAGGGGGGGGGGACTCTCAAAAAATTACTGCGGCCAGCGACGAGCAAAACCCAGTCAAAAACCACAAATAGATGAATCGTGACGTTAAAGTCCCTGGTCGTCCATCAGCTGACAGCAGGGTTCTGGACCGTCACGACTCGCGCCTTCACAGCGGGCTTCGTTGACGTCAGTCGGCTGGCGGCAGGGAAATCCTGTCCTGCAGCTTGAAACTCTGATTAGGGAATGATCGAAACGTCCAAAACTCTGATGGCACGATGTGACTCCCATTCCGAATCGGTCAGACAGAAAGTCGACCGGCCCGCTCAGACCACCGCTTGTCTACGACGTCGCGTTTGTGAGGAATTAGGCTTTTTTTTTTGTTGGCTGGCGAGTCGATGACCGTCCAACAGCCGCCATGGGCCGCACCATTCCAACGGTTCGGCTATGTGCGGTTCTCTACACTTGTCACGATGGCTACCCAATTCTACTGGTACGAACACAATACACACCCATTCACGTCCAGAATTCACGTTGACGAGTCAATCATCATCGCAATACGGAGCACAGCTTTCAAACCCAAACGCGAGCATGTGCATGCTCAAATAACGTATAATTCATGGAGTCGTGATTATTGTACCAAAAAAACTCATCACCTGCGTACTCCCCATCCATTATCCAACAACCCCGTCGCCTCTTCAAGACTCAACCCTGCCGTCTCAGGGTATATACGCCAGACAAGGGCATAGCCTACGGTGCAGAGTAGGGCGTAGAGCGTGAAAGTCCATGGCGGCGTCAAAGTGTCCATGAGCGGCAGAAATGTCAAGCCGACGACGAAATTGGCCGCCCAGTTGGTGGACGTCGCGACACCGCTGCCAATGGACCGCACGGCCAGCGGAAAGAGCTCGCTCTGCATCCAGGGCACGTTGCCGAGGCCGATGGCGTAGGCGGCTACATAGATCATGATGCTGACGAGGATCATGAGAGCGGCACCGTGAGACGTTGAGGCGCCCTCGTCCTCACCTCCGCCGGGTACCGAAGGAGTGCTGCCGGGGTCGCCGGCATCCGGTGGGCGTGCATCGCCCGCGGTCGATGTCGACGTCGACGGAGCCAGGTCGAGGAACGAGAAGCCGTACGCCGCGAGCAGCAGACCCGCAATCATGAACGGCAGCGAGTAGAGCATGATGCGACGTCTGCCAATCTTGTCAATGAGGAGCAATGCCGCCACGGTGAAGACAAAGTTCGTCACGGCGACGCTGAGAGCGTCAACGTCGCGTGTGAAAGCCGACGAGCCGGAAGGATGGTCGCTGAAAAGTACAT